ATATTGCTGCGCATAACTGCCTTAATATTTGTCAGTGCATCGCATATGCTGCAGCGTCTTGCACCAAATGCTTGATTTTATTTTTGCCTATAAAGAGCGACACGAAAGTGCGTATCTGTAGGTACCTAAAGATTATGCTGTGTCTAATGTCATCTTATTCAGCAAGGATGATTGGTGGAAAGGTCGATGTAATGATCGTGAGGGAATATTTCCTGCCAACTACGTTCAGAAATGTGAAAGTCAGTCGTTATTGTAGCAGATTATACTGAACACTAAATAATCCTGTTTCAGCTCCAGTGGGTGCTGCGATCCCAATACTTTGTCGTGCTAGGGCAGTAGCTGACTTCGATGCGACCGCAGCTAACCAACTCACTCTAAAAACTGGCGACATTGTATCAGTACGCGAAAAAAGTTCCACTGGATGGTGGGAAGGTGAAATAGTACGAGATGGGCATACTCAGGCTGGATGGTTTCCAGGCGACTATGTCACGCCCATTCCTGTGAGTTTTTCTCATTTGAACACCTTTCTTCTGGCAGAAGATCTGCGTTCTTTTTCTTTGAAAATTGGGATGTGGAGTTCCCATATGTGCAGGATACTCGATTCAAGATAATTGTATTGTCATGGTCATGACAGTTTCATAATTTTGATATAGATTCTATATACAAAAATAATACAAATAAGCTACTAAAACCTATTGCATTAGGTAGCTATAACCGCAACACTACCTATTACACAAGTCTATTCTCTCAAGTTATTGTCATAGCTTGAAAGAAAGAGGTACTCAGCATCTTTGTCATTCTGTCTTTTGAGCGAACAAGCTTCTCTGCTTCCCAATTTTGCTGATCTTTGACCTAGAAACTTCTGAAAAAGGGAAATTTATGGATGCCCGCGAAGATTTTGCAAAGCTGTTTTGTAGTACTGAAAATAAAAATTGTTGCTATGGTTTACAAGTAAATCACACATGTACAGTTTCTTGACTGTATAAGTAACTTTCAAAAACATTCCAACTCCTTGGCGGGGCGGAGGAAGGGGGAGGGCGGGGGAGCTTGGCTTTAGTGATAACGAAAAAAAAGCCCAGATTATCTCTGCTGATGCATCAGATCTGCACATTGTCAAATCGGGCAATAAAGGCCGGGCATACTTCACGCGATTTCAGCCGCGAAAAGATTTGGCAGCATTCCAACTGTCCATAACTCACTGTAAGCA